CGTGGGTGCTGCTGCCGGCGCGGGACGTGGCCCACGGGGCGGCCCACGGCGCCCTCTTCCACCTGCTGGCCTTCCTGGCGCTGGCGGCGCAGGCGCGCACCATGCTCACCGACCCCGGCTCCGTGCCCGTGGACGCGGGGCCCGGCCTGGGCTCCGAGCCCGGCACGCCCCACAGGCCCCGCTGCCCGCTCTGCGGCGCCGTCCAGCTGGCCCACGCGTGGCACTGCCTCGTGTGCGGACGCTGCATCCGCAGGATGCATCACCACTGTCCCTGGGTCAACAACTGCGTGGGCGAGGACAACCAGAAGTACTTCGTGCTGTTCTCGCTGTACACGGCGCTGGCCGCGCTGCACGCGCTGCTGCTGCTCGGCGTGCCCGCCCTGCGCAGCTACGCGCGGGGGGAGTGGGACAGGCACAGCACCCTGACGTCCCACGGCGCGCTGGTCTTCCTCTCCCTGGTGGCCCTGAAGGGCTTCCTCTTGGGGTCCGTGACGTTCGCCATCCAAATGCACGCCATCTGCACCGACCGAACCAGAACCGAGCAGCGGCAAAGCGAGAGGAGCGGGCCGGGCCCAGGGTCAGCATGGATGAACTTGAAGGCCGTCTTCGGCCGCCGCGTCTCCCTGGCCTGGATCAGCCCCTTTGCCTCCCCAGAACCCCAGAGGGCAAGTGGGCACCGCGATGGGGCCTAAGGGCTCCCGTGTAAACCCAGCTACCATCTGCTGAATCCCGGAGGTCTTAGGGGGAAACCGCCAAACCTCCATAACAAGCCACTTTTTTTCCCACATCCACAAGGAGACCAGCACCACAGCTAATAGAAAAGCCTCAGGTTCTCTTCTGAGCAGATAGTGGGGTTTAGGACACCCAAGATTCTGAGAAAGTTCATAAGGCCAGGCCCTTTCCCAAAAGGGAGGCGAAATATGCTGCACCTTTTCAGCTCTGCCAATGCTTCCATGTGGAAAGCAATTAGGTCCACAACAGCTGTGAATAAAGTATCATGAATTAACTCATGATGAATTAGTGCCGAGCCGACTAAACAAGGTAAGTGCACACTGAGGCAATTGCATGAGTGCTGGCCCCTGGTCTGCTGTGGTGAGTCGCATGGATGCCTGATCTGCAATGAACCATCCTTGCATTCCTGATAAACCCAGCTCCATCACAATGGATTGTTTTGTATTATCTGTTGGAGTTGATGGGCCGATACTTGGGATTTTTGTGTTTATGCTCATCCGTGAAATGGGCCTCCACATTTCTATTCCTTTCCTTATTATTTTAGCCTAATCTGTTGGTAATTTACTCCAGATCACACTAGCCATAAAACATGAGTGGGGCAACTATGGCCGTTATACTTTCTGAAACTGTACGGGATTGGAACTACTACTGTTGCTCGAAAGTTGGGTGGGTTACACCAGCGTAGGTTTGGTTTTCTTGTTTAGCTTTTTATTTTGAGGTCATTGTAGGTTCACATGCAGCGGTAAGACGGTAAGAAGGAAGCGATCCCGTTTACCCTTCACCCAGCTCCCCCATGGGTAACATCTTACGTAACCGTAGTACAATATCCCAACCAGAAAGCGCACATGACACCACCCACTGACTAGTCAGATTGCTGCCGTTTTACACGCACACGTTCATTTGTGACTGTGGGGGGAGGGTCTATGCAACTTTATCACAAGTGTAGGTTTGTGTGTGCACCACCACAGTCAAGATACTGATACGTCCCGCTCCTTTCCACCCCCTCCAAGCCCCCAGACATTGACTAATCTGTTCTCTATGATTTTGTCATTTCAAGAATGCTATGTAAGTGGAATTACTGTGCAATGTGTCATCTTTTGAGACTGTCTGTTTTCACTCATCGTAGTTCCCTTGAGGTCCATCTAAATTGTTGCCTGTGTCAACAGCTCACCCCTATTCACTGCTGAGTACTATCCATCATAACCGCAGTCTAACCATTCATCCACTGAAGGACGTTTGGGTTGTTTCCTGTTTTCGACGGCTATAAACATTTGGGTACAGGTTTTTGTGGGAACGTAAGCTTTTCTCTGGGATCAATGCCTACGAATGTAGTTTCTGGGTCATGTGATAATTTGCACCATTTAGTTTTGTAAGAAACTGTACGAATACTGTTTTACACAGTGGCTGTACCATTTCACATTCCTCCAGCAGTGTATGAGTGATCTATTTACTCTGCATCCTCTCCAGCATTTGGGGTTATCCCTTGTTTTAGTTTAGCTGTTCTGATAGGTCTGTGGTGATATTTAATCATGGTCCCACTCTACAGGTCGTCCTCCATCCTCCGTCCTCCGTGTCTCGCTGGCTGGCTGGCGGGGTCAGAGGCTGAGAACACGAAGATCTGGCCAAAATGCCCCCAGAGGGCAGCAGGAGCGACGGCCACTTTACCGTGAAGCCAGGACTCTGTCAGAACATTTCACAAAATCCAACAAGTGCCAGCGGTTCCCAGAGGACCCGAAATTCACTGTTAAGTCCCCTCTGTTTGTCTGGGAGGATGGAAAGAAAGCCTATTTGAAGGTAGGACTAACAACTCTCATTTCCACACTTATTAGAGTCGAAACTATGGAACTGCAGCCAATGCTCCTTGACCGACACCCCAGGCCAGAGTTGGGGCGATGCAGCCTGGACGAACCGGACTCCCAAAGCACTTCAAGACTATTGTACCAGCTTCAGGGACACCACCGACTCTGGTCCATTCAGGTTAACTTCTCGGCAGCTGAGGGTCCTGGGCTCCTGGAGCCCCCACCGTGACCTGCCATTTGGGGCTCAGGACCCAGTGTCCCCGCTCTGGTCTCGGCCACACTGACCACCACCAATCGGTGCTGTCTGGAGCAAATGAAAAGGGCAAAGGAACACTGGTTTTCTGCTTTGCTGGGTTCTTTTAACTGTGAGGTCCATCATTCAGGTCTTTAGAAACCCTGCATGTGCTGCTCGCCTGCCTGCCCTTTGGGGTGCTTCCAAGGAGGCGTCTGGGCACCCAGGTCCTTTCTCTTGGACTGAAGGGCTTAAAGTTACTAACGGGGAGTGACCGGGAGGCAGAGTGAGCCCGTAGCTGACACGAATTCAAACAGCTTCCTGTGGCCTCTGAGCTCCCAACGTCTCATGATTTAAACGCCATTTTCCTCCCAGTGCCACTCACCCCATGACTCTCAGCAACCTCTAAGCGTTCCAGGAGCATCAAGTTTTAAAAAGAAAAAGAAAACCTTCCCCAGGTCATTTCCTTCAAGGGCTGATGTCCTTCCACAGCAAACGTAGATGAGGTTTCTGCGAGAATGAATTGTCGGAAAAGTCATGACGCATTTTTGCAATGAAAAACATAGAAAAAATACATCATGACTGTTCCGACAACCCAATAGATTCCAGCTGGTTACAAGATAATCGCTCACAATGAGACATTCCAGCTTTCAGCAAGTCCTCAGATTCTAACCATGCAAGAACTGTTCACAAATGTACAATTCCAACGAGTGTATGTTGTCACCTCTAACGCTGTACAATTTAGACTTTTACCCCCAAAGTTATTTTAAACCTGTCTTGGGAGAAGGTTTAATATGAGTTCAGCAAATGACATTTCTGTGGACTGCTCTGGAGATGACATTTGTCAAGCTGCCATTAGAGAGGTAATCTGTGTAATTTGCTGGGGTCCATTATTGCAGATATCAGCAATCAATATTTCCCTCCAAAAGGATATCAGTTGGTTGTTAGGAACCCACAGAAAGTTTTCTCCTCCATTATAAACTCTCCCGGGCGTCCGCCACCCCTCAGGGGAACAAGGGACAGTCCGACCCTGGGGACATGGAGAGACAGAGACAGAGGGAAATAGAGAAAGAGGACAGACACAGAGACAGCTCCACGGGCGGCTGGAGGGCCATCATGGCAGCTAACTGGGGTCCTCACTGCTGAGGACACGCTGAGGATGGAAGCTCCCCCAAAAGCCCGTCCAGTGGACACTGAATGAATTCAGAGCAGGTCACCTCGGTGGAGGGCACCCCATCCTGAAGGCTATCGAGGCAAGTGCCTGACCGTGGGCTGACGGCGGGGGCAGCTTCCATGCCTGCCCTGGTGGCTCAGCAGGAGGCAGATGGGGGCCACAGGGTCAGACCCAGCGGGGACCCCTGAGGCCCTGTGGAAGTCCTGGCCAAGGATGCCCCTGGGGCCTGGTGAGTCACGTGGACCCAGCAGTGAGCAGGGGAGGCCGGGCTCTCTTCCCAGAAAGACCATGGATCAGAAACATGGGAAGACCTAGGCACCTCCTGCAGGCACCTGGGTGCAGGCAGGTGGGCGAGTGCAAAGGGGCCAGGATTTTTTGCAGCGCTCCCCAGAAACTGCTGGGTTCTGCTCCTCTCCCTCTTGAATGAAGGCTGGCCTGTGACTTTTTTTTTTTTTTTTGCGGTTACAAAAATTGCCATGATGGACTTTCTTATACCACATACCCACTATTGGGCTTCCCTAAGACTCCCCACAGCGCACGGGGAGGGGCGTCTAGAAGCCGATCCCCCGGGACAGCTGTGCTGAGCCCGCCAATGTCCACTGTGTGCACACGCCCTGTCCTTTTCCTCGGGGGAAGGTGCTGGAAACCACTGCACAGTTTCACTGAGCTGCACCCCCTAAATGACCCAAACCACTTACCCCAAGGCCAGCCTCCTCACGTCCCTACCAGTACTTCACGCTGCCACACTGTGGACAGGTTTGGGAAATGTTTTCAATTATGGTTTTAGTTGTCTTCATACTGGAAGCTGACCTCCACAGGACGGTCCTGCTTTCCCAGGCTCCAATCCGTCACTCGTTCCCATCTTTCTTGGTCTGTTTCTTCCTGATGTGTTGGACTTAGTTACACATTCTGGACGTTAGCTCTTTGTCAGCTGAATGCATTGCAGGTGCTTCCTCCCAGAGGTGGCCTCCTGGTCTCATTTATCTACGCCGTCCTTGATGAATTTTAATGCAACAGGAATTGTGAGCTTTTCCCCTTGTGTTTTTGCACCTCTGGGATCCCGCTGAAGAAATTATTCCTTAGTCCACGGTCATCATATGTTCTCCTGTGTTGTCTTATAAAAGCTTTTAAAATGTTTATGATACTATTAAGTCTTTAATCCATTTGGAACTGGTTTTTACATACGGAGTGAGGTAAAATCCATTTTCTTTATTTTTCTAGATATTAACCAATTTCTCTGGCATCAATTTTTGAACAGCCTCTTGTTTCCTCATTGATCTGCGACGCCAGCTGCATTAGAATTCACACGCTCGAACGCACTTACGTCCGAGATTTCTTCCTGGACTCTCTCCACATCGCCAGGACCCCAGCTCCGGTCACCAGGACTCCCTGTGCCCTCAGGGGCCTGTGTCAGGGCAAGTTCACCCCCCAGGGTGGCCATGCTCTCTTAAGCTCTGGCCTCTGAGCGCCTTACCTCCCTAATAGTTCAGTGATGGGCTGAAAGAGATCTTTTAAATGTACTTCATCCAGCACTTCTCACTGTTTTCAGTTGGATTACATGAGGTACTGCACCGGCCACGTTGGCACAGAGAAGTCCTGCACTGAGGACAAATCAATCGCTTTCGTTACAGACTATTATTCAGACTTACTATCATGTTGACCATTTTATTTGATCACGACCATTTCTGGCGTTGCATTCTGAAACGCGCCTTCTCAGGCTCTCAGTGAAAGGAGCTCTTGGTCTTGGCCTCAGGC